GCTTTTGATAAGCCGAAATATATCGATCAAATGGAATCATAAAAAAAATTTTGCTTTTTCATTCGGAACAAGAAGGAGGCAATACAAAAAGTCACACACTTTGTGTGAATCAAACTTATGATTCCTTGTTCTATAACTGAGACGAAAAAAAACTTAGAGCAAAAAAAGACAAATAAAGTTGCGGCTACTATTGTTCTACAATAATGCTGAAGACACCTCCATCGTTATCTATTTCCAGTAGCGGGAAAAATGCGAAAAACTTCATTTCCACTCAATTCTGAGTCATTTTTGCTCGCAACTTTATTTGTCTCTTTTTTGCTCCAAGTTTTTTTCCGTCTCAGTTATGGATAAAGATCTCATAAGTTGTTCTTTCATTCTATGGGTGTCATATATGTATGTATGTACCTAGCTTTCTCAGTGGTTTAACGTGAAAACTGTACCTACGAATTTAACGATTCAATGAGTATGATACTTTTTTGAAAACGATTCAGATGGAATAGAATGTGATGTAAGTTGATCCAACAGAGAATTTAACTTATAACTCATCTTTTCCTTGATGAAGAATTTCAGCAACCAATAATTCAAGAAGATATAATGGTACATCTTATTACGAAACTGATGATCCACATGTGCAGCGCATCCATTTAGCTGATGACATACAATGAGATGATATATATGAAGTGCAGTTTACTGATCCAGAACTTTCTGCGAGAGAAACCTTTTGTAAAAGCATCTCTACCAAAATCTCTGGTTAGTGATTTTTTTTCCATTTCATGTTGCAATCAAGTATTATTAACCATTTGTATATTTGCAGAGTCTGGAGTTTCGGGAGCATATCCGGTGGCAAATATAAATCCAAACCTATTGAAATCTTTGGCTGGTTAAAAAGAAGCAGAATTCCACTTTGAATGGAAGTCATAATATGAAAGGGATCTATGATTCAATACTACTTCCTGCAATTTTATGAAATAATCTTAATTTTTTATGGATCATCTGTGAATTTTACATAATACCCTAATTACAAGATCCATAAATACTTATTGTACATTACCATGTACTTTTTACCTTTAATTGTCACTTACGATGGAATATAAAAGATATGTTGACCTTTGAAGTTTTTATAGATCATGTTTCTCATTCAATTTTAACTGATTTTTTTAGAAAACTAAACGAAGAAGAGTGAAGAGTGCAAACCTGTTCTTGAATGGTATGTGCTAATGGATGTATCTTCGACGAAAATATTCGGCGAACTCAGTACAATTTTGAACGTGAATTACGCAGCGCAAAAATAATAATGCTGAGTTTCGTTGCCATCGTTGCCTCAACGTTTTTTGTTGTGGCATCTAGTGCATTTCTTTCTGATGGTGTCAGAGAAATCAACTTCACGAAAATCCACGATGAAAGCGATGAATATGATTTTGAGTGAGTCAAACATTCAGACGTGTAACAACGCAATTAATTTTTACCATTTTATCTTTTAGATACGAACTAGAATGTGGCAACACATTTCGTGGGAGAACTTTTATTGTGAATGTTCCGGACGAACACATTTATGTAATGTTTGGTGCTGACGATATTTTGTATTGGGTGCAATTCACAGAGGATGAGTACAAAAACAAAACATATCTTACTAAAACTGTCCGATTAAGTGAGTTCCGCATGTTTTATTACGAATATTGAACATTCTCAAGAGTACGTTGACATCGTGTTATTCCAGTTGAACGAAGCGAAAACAAATTAAAATTCAAAGACGATTTTATTGACTACGATCTGACGATTTTGAAAGGTTTCTTGTTTGTTGCGCCTTACCAAACGAGGTTAATCGTTGAACTATTTTGTTGGCTTAATGTTCAAACGCATTAATAATGACAAATAATGTTTTTCAGTTGGGATTTGGAGCAAATATGCTTTACAAAAACTGACAGTAAAAATCAAACGTTCAATTATATGTGAGTATTTTTTGGAATTTATTAATTGAATAAAAACAAGATTTAATTTGTGATCTAGTATTTCAGCAACAAACAACTCAAGAAGATATAATGGCACAACGTTTTACGAATCGAATGACCCATATGTGCAGCGAATTCATTTGGATGATGGTACCCAACGCAATGACACGTATGAAATGAATTTTACAGACGACGAGATCAATTCAAATGACACATTTTGTAAATGAATTTCGAAAATCATATCTGGTGAGTGTATTGCTACGTATATCTGTCAAGTTATTCATTGCTGTGTTGACCGTTTTTCAGAGTCGGGCGTATTGGGAGCATTTCCAGTGAGCAATATCAATCCAAACCTTCTGAAGTCTTTGGCTGGTTGAGCATGAATCCCACTAGTCATTACACATCATTCAAAAGTAGACAATATCTATGAAAATATTAGTTATTCAATTTCACATTTTCAGTGCTTTTATTTATACAGGCAGAGGAAGTATCAATTCCCAAATAAATAATCCATTCAAGTAACTTAAAAATGGATTGGAACAATTACATTCATCACCCCAAATGTTTTTTTTTTTTTGAAATAATCAAATGAATTAATCAAAACCAACGAATTTGTTGACCACAATTCTCAAGCCCGAACGATGGTCCAAGTGAAAATACACAAAATATTATTTTTCATTATTGTTTTTTATTTTCAAGATGTGAAATATTTTGTAGGTATATTTATTAGGTATCAATGCAATTTTTTTCCAAATAATTCAACAAATTTAATTCATATCTACCGATATCTTATATATCTTCTCACAAATTATGCTATAGCATACCCTAGAGTATACTCAACGGATTTCACACTGGAAATTGTCTTAAAAAAAGAAGAGAGAACATGTATTGCCATCCCCCAGTGATCACAAGTTGAGCCCATGTCACACTGTTGTGAACTACATGAACTATCAACGCTCTGTATGCATTTGCATTTAATGTAATAATAATCTTTTTTTCATTTTCATCAACGCTAGAGCTTCTACTTTAATTACCAATATAAGAACTGCCAATAAATAGGATAAAATATTGCGGGAACATTCATTTTGAAATCAATTACAAAGAAGTCCATACCTTTTAAAACCTGCTTCTTCACCTCAAGAAAATGAAGAGAACCGGTTCTTCTTACAACAATAACAGGCCTACATGTGAAAAGAATTCAATTATTTGCCAAATCAGTTAAGCAGCTTAACTTAAGCTTGTAGCTTCGATTATCAAGCTGTGTTGAAAATGAGTGGATTGAGTGCACAACCCCTGTACCACACAAACAAAACAAAGTAAAACACGAATTTGCGATGAGCGCATTCAGTGAAGCTCATTTCAATTCTTTACGTCGTTTGACGCACTCATGAACGCGACAAATTGAACGCATCAACAATGTTCCGTAATGAAAGATACATTTTTTACTTATAAAATTGATGTTTATCACGTGCTACGCTCTCACAAAAATCAATTTTGCACATTCGTGACATTTTTATTTTTTTTGTCTACTTTATTAACAAATATAAAAAAGATTCAATAATACATTGAACGATCTGTGTCACAACTTTTGACACTTGTCTCGTAGCGCTAGAAGTGAGCTGTCAGACGCTTAGATGCAGGACCTTCGATTGAGTGTACATAATTTACTTCTTATATTTCAACTAAACGTTTCAAGTGCCTTTAGGTGAAAGAATTTCATTTTGTTAAAGCTGCAGATGGTAGTGATGAATATGACTTTAAGTACGTTAATCTTCCTATCGAAAATTGGTCATCAAATCATCATGGCTAATTTATTATTCATTATAAAATAAAACTTGTCATTTAGGTATGAGCTGGAAAATGGTGAAATATTTCATGGAAAACCTATATTTTAAACAATCCCCGCGTGCATTTATATGTTATATTTGGTCCAGATGCGACCATTGGGCTCAATTTTCATCATATGAATACATATACAAAAAATCCTTTTCTAAAATGGTTCGATTGGGTAAACAATTTCAGTTTTCTGTTAAAGTTTAAATTCTTATAGATTTCATTATTGTTTGCAGCCCAGTGAACTAATGATAAAATAATCATGAGAGATGATTCAGCTCTATTTGATCTTACAATTTCTACCGGTAACCTTCTGATCACACCTTATGCAACGAAGTTAGTCAAAGATTTATGCATTACCAATTAGTCACTGTTAATTATTACTGATCTTTTAATTTAAGATGGAACCTGGAAAAATTTTGCTTCACCAAAGCAGATAAAAAGAAAAATACTTTTGATTATGTGTGAGTCACATTATGCAGAGAAGCTGAATAATATTCAAACAATTCCAAATGATTTCATGCGTCAAATTGGGTATCTTCGGATAAAAATTCTAGGACGCTGGATGACACGTCTTCTTATGAAGGAAAAGATGAATCAGGTGATCCATTGCTATTGCTGATTATCCTTACTGTGATGGTGTATATGAAGTGAAATTCACTGAAAATCAATTACAATCTGACGAAACATTTTGCAAAAGCGTTTCCTCCGTTATTTCACGTAAGAACTGTTTCACTGGATTTTTCCCCGAACTAATTCTAGATGTTATTATTTCCAGAGCACGCAATCTTTGGGGCAATCACCGTGAATGATGTGAACACAAATCTCATGTAAATTTTGATTAAGTCCAATAAATGACAAATGTAACTGAAATTTTATCGCACTCTCATAATAATTTATGAATAATGAAGTGGAATTGAATATACATATATATCGCAATTCGCAAAAAATCAACAATAATATCCAACACCTTTTGGTTTTCTTAAACTGGACTATTTACTCAAATAAACTCGTATACTCTTGTTTGTTGTGGGGCGTAGCACATTAAGTCAAAGAACCTGTTTTAATAAACAAACACAAAACATGTTCATCTAAAGATGTATATATGTTCAATATAGATTTGTTCACTGAAGTGTAACAGTCTAATTCGTTTTAGTTTGTAGCTTGCAATGAAGTATCATGGTCAAATTATTGTCTGTTTTGATTCTTTCGACAATTGCCTTGGTGGCGTCCAGTGCTTTCATTTCAGATTTTGTTCAGGAGTTTAACTTTTCAAAAATTGACAATAAAAGCTATGAATATAATTTTGAGTAAGTTTGTGCAGTTCTATGTCGATAAATATTTGGCAAAAATTGTTTCAACTTGTTAAATTTAAAATGTTCAAAATCTACGCAGATACGAATTTGCTAATGGCCGACATTTTCGTGGAGTCACGTATTTAGTATTCGATGGATATGAACGCTTTTATATGATGCTTGGTGCTAATAAGTCCATTTACTGGGTTTTCGTATTGCCTGAAGAATTCGAAAATGTGACAACATTTTCAAAACCTGTACGAAATGGTACGTTTCGTCAATTATTTCTGCTTCAAAATTCATTTTCGTGATTTTCATCATTTCAGCCAAACGAAGCGGAGACGAAATAACGATGCAAGATGATTTTCGTTTATACGTACTAAATATTACTATGGGTGTCTTATATAACATGGGATACAGAACAGAGTGGGTTTCAGTACAAATTGAAACCATTTCAACTAATTCTTCAGCATGACTACACAAATAATTATGCATTGAATTTCAGATGGAATATGGAAACTATTTGCTTTACCAAAATCAATCGCACTGACAACTTTTTCAATTTCATGTAATTCCTTATATTTTAACACGATCAAAATGCAAGCATATCCTTAGGTTGTTGTTTATTTCATCAGAATTGATGCAACAAATAACTCAAGGAAATATAATGGCACCACTTACATTAAAGCCGATGATCCACAAGTACAGCACATTCGTATATCGGATTGGCCACAGCGCCGAGGTGAATATGAAGTTGGATTCTCAAATCAAGAACTCGACTCACAATCCACTTTTTGTAAAGGGATCTCTCGAACAGTTTCAGGCAAGTTCAGACTTTTTTCTTTCTGCGAAGTTTTTCATTATTAGTTACTTCTTTCTTTCTTTCTTTCTTTCTTTCTTTCTTTCTTTCTTTCTTTCTTTCTTTCTTTCTTTCTTTCTTTCTTTCTTTCTTTCTTTCTTTCTTTCTTTCTTTTTAGAAGAAGGAATTTCTAATGCATTTCCTAGGAAGATTGAAAATGCAAAACTTCTAGAAGCTTTGGAAATTGGCAGCAACGAAATTAATAGATAAACTTTGAGGATCACTTGAGGTCGTTCAAAATCAATTTAGCAAAGCGATTTGTATCCACAAGAAAAGCATTTTTGTTTGTACCGTGATAAAATAAACAATAATAAATGAATAAATATAAAATTGAAATCATTTGTATCCAATACAAGTGCTGTTTTTTTCTCTCTCTGGAGTAGATTTTGTAAAATTTTGAAAATTGGTCCGAAATGATTTCCGGCCGTTATGGCTCGCTAGATCGCACCAAATTAGGCTATGTACCACCATCTACCCGGGTCGATAGCTCTCATGGGTCAGAAAAATTGGCTCTCTTTTGTGGAAAATTTATCCGAGGGTAGATTTTTAAAAAAGAATGAGCGAGCCATAACGGCCGGAGATCATTTAGAACCAATTTTTGGAATTTTATAAAATCCGGTGAGCATTAATAACATCAAAATTGACTGGAAATTTTTTCGACGCACCATCTATGCCGCCTCTGTCATTCTCACTCGTTTCCTCGAATCTGCGATGTAATGACAGAATACATTTGCCAAACAGAATGTATGCTGTCACAGTAGTTGTTTGGCGCGGAAACTTTTGCTATAGGTGGCGCGTCGAAAAATTTTCCAGCGTCTCAATGCATACATTGAATGCGATGCTAATTCCCACCGATAAAATCTACCCCGAGCAAAAAACAGCACTTGTATTGGATATTATAGAAAATAAAATGCCTTAATCTACAATGATATATATCAATAGAAATTGCTATGTTGGAGCATACGATGTATGTCATATATAGTATATACTCACAAGTGTATTTTTCGGTTGTTTACTTGGTGCTAACATAAAGCAGCTGTTCACTCAGAAGAAATGAAGCTCAAGGATTTACTTCTCTTAGAAATCTACAACAAACCAGTTTAACTTGTTAATTTTTGCACTTTCGTCGGTGTGAGTTGTGGTAGTGTCTACAACAATAGGTTAGTATTCTGTCAGCATTCAGCTGAAGATCATCATACTTCGACAATCGGTCTGAGAAGATGTATATTGTGTTTATTGTTTTATTGTCAGTATTTGTGTTTGTGTTTTCTGACCTTCTCGATGGAGTAGGAACATTCAGTTTTAATAAATCCAATAATAAAAGTGGCGAATACGATTTTGAGTGAGTAGCTTATGAAGCTAGAAACATTTAATGCAATGAATTGCATATTTCAGATATAGGCTAGAAAATGGAGAGCTCTTTGATGGCAAAACCATTTCCCTAAATGGCTGCGACACAAATGTACACATTATGTTTGGAGCTGATAATTCTATCTTCTGGGTTCGACTTAGCGAGGAGGAATTCCAAACTAACTCAATTATTCGGAAAATTGTGCGCCGAGGTGTGTTTTCGATAATACCGCAAAAGACAATTTATTTCAAATTTATATCGCATTTCAGTTGAACGGATTAAAAATACTGAAATACGTTTCAAGGATGATCTAATTGAATACACAGTCACAAATTATAGTAGCTCTTGGAAGGAAGATAGTCTGGTACAAAAAGTGCCATATTTAACTAAGTGAGATTGTCAAAGTTTTAAACATTTTTTTTTCATAATATACAAAAATGCGTATATTTCTAGGTGGGATTTTGAAAATATATGCTTTACCAAACAAGATGAGGCCAATAAAATATTTCTCTTTGAGTAAGATTCAAAAATAACTAATATGGACCAGAATTCAGAGACATTGATATAAACTTCTAGAATCAGATCGAAAAATAATCCTCGACTTTATAACGGAACAACAATTTGGGAAGATGGAAATCCACGGTTGCAAAAGATATATTTGAAAGACTTACAAATATACGATGCCAAATACGAAATTGAGCTAACGGAAAATGTGCTCAATTCCAATGCAACATTTTGTAAAGGAATCTCCAGAACCGTTTGGGGTAAGAATTCTTCGTCCATTACTTTTTTCATTTGTTTTCCAATGATAAATTCGATTTTTAGAATATGGTGTACTTGGAGCATGCGCCGCGAGAGTCAAAAATCCTAAACTGATGGAAGAATTGATGAGAACTACTCAAATGAAGTAGGCTAAACGGAATCTTCATAAAGACTGGTTTTTTGCATTGGCATTGCTACGAGAGAAAAATCATTCTGAACATCTTTGTTTGTTTCTTATTATTGACCACTTTTTCCATAAGGAAATTGGAAGTTTGTTTGGCGACTCAGGATATTGAAAGTTCTTTGCGTTGTTTTCCTGACTACAGCATGCTCTAAACGATATTTTCTCAAAAATAAAATTATGTTCTTGTTATTCAATAAGTTTCAAAATAAAATAAAAATTACACCTCAATTATCACAAACTCGTTTTTCAAAAGCGAATAAAACTCAGAATATTTATTCATTTTCATTGAAGAACGAAGAACGGTGAACAAATGAAGGACAAACGAGATATCGAGCGAACGGATAAGCGCGACAACAGTGACCAAGTGCTGGTTTTCAATGCCATTCGATTTGCGACCACGTCTGGCTTGCGCTGTATGTATTCCTGTGTATTCGAGTATCTCGTGTCATACACAAGCGCCATCTCAATTCCTTTGGGTTGAAACATATATCGATGGCTTTCAAAAAAGTTGATGTTTCTAAATAAAATGGCGTGAAATGTCAATGATTGGTTCTACATAAGTTAATTATAATTTTTTGTGTGTGTATGTTTTTTCTATTCACCATTTTTATTTTTATTAAACAATACACTCACTCAACATACAAAAAACAGTAATTCATAATTTAAACAAATTCTCTACGTGTAGAATAGTATTTCTCCACGTGTAGAACGTACAGAACAAAGCGCTTGAAGCGCTCGACAGTTTGACATTTCAAACACAGCTGAATGCAATGTATAGTAACAAACAAGAAAAAGTCATATTGAAAGTAGATTCAAAAATTGTTTAAAATGTTTTCTTTTCAAGAGCGTTCTTTTTGAACTTTTGGTTGCCAATTAAAAATCCAAACTATACTCAAGATGAAATACAGTGAATATAAGTGAAATACAGTGAATATAAGTGAAAGACAGCAGAACAAACATGAGAATTTGTGGAATTGGTTTTAATTCGAAATTGGGAGTGTTGAGTACCTAAGTGAATGTTATAAAAAGATGTCAATGTTATTTCAGTTTTCTTTGATACTTTGATCTGAAATCAGTAAATAACGAAGAACAATTATCTGTTCGTTGCATCAATATTTTCAACTAAATTGTTGATTCAACATCTGCTGACACTTGCTTTGCCTGGGGTTATTGAGATGGCGCTTCGAGTGCATCTGTATATAAAAAAAACTCACGAAAGTCTCGCTTGTTCGCGACGCTTAGAATATTTTGGCTGTTGGTACGGTACACCGTTCTCCGATCATTGAAAGGGGGATCAAACTGAAGAACGGAGAATGGTGAACAAATGAAGGGCAAACGGGATATCGAGTTGAGTATATACAAATCGTGGCACTGACTGTCAACAGCGATTGCACAATCTAGAAAATACAAAAATCAACAAAAAAAAACAATGTAAATATATTTGACATGTTTTAGTATGAAACTTTGAAAAAATTTGTGAAGAAAAAAATTGGTTAATAAAATCCGATTTTCTTATTAATATTTTAATAAGATTATCTTATTAATAATAAGATGGATCTTATTAACTTTTTAATAAAATGGCGATCTTATTAATAATAAGATAATATGTTAATAATATCGTAGAATCTTATTAATCTAATAATATGTTATGTTTGAGTTATTAACGCCCCGTTAATAATATGTTAATAATTAATAACATTAGTGTGTTAATGCCTGTAAAACTATAAGTATTTCTACTATACCGTATTCCTACTACCATTGTATCAGATTGCCATGCAAGTTTCACGGGAGAAGTCTTCAAAAAAATCAACAAATTACTGAAAATTTAACACATATTTTCATCACCATACTCTCCTGCTAGCAACGAAGTTGAAAGAAAAAACAGAGAATTGGGGAATTACTTGGGGAAAAACTTTTGTTGCACATCAAAATTCAGTTATTCATTCCTCCACCAACTTTGCTCCTTTCGAATTGATGTTCGGTCGTCAATTTGAAATTCCGAATTCTTTACTCAATAAATCGACACCTTCTTACACATTTGACGATTTTGCGGACGAGTTCAAAGCAAAGTTAAAAACTGTTTGGTCCCAAGCAAGAGAAAATATCATCAAAAGAAAAGAATATAACAAAAACTACTACGATGGTAGAAACAGAGTACAAAAGGTAGACATCAAACCTGGTGATATGGTATGCATCAAAAACAACAAAAAACAATATAAGTTTTCTAACCTATTCTCGGGTCGAGATTATCGAGTTGAAAAAATAACGGGAGAAAACTCAATTACTGTAAGCAAGGGAAATAAAACCTTCAGAGTTCACAAAGACAACATCAAGGTCCAACGTCCGATTAACTCTGTTCAAACCTTGCAAACAGTTACAACAAGGTGCAGATCATCAAGCATCTGAAACATTTTTATCTTTATTTTTTCTCTTTCTCACTCTAAAATCACCAACACGCACAATTTTGCGAATCGCAATAAATTTTTATTGAATTCATTTTCCATCGTTTTAACGAATGAACAGCTTTTTAATTTTTTTTGTGTATTGTATGTTTCCCGGAAACTTAAACTAGAGGAAGAAAAAAACGCTCTATCTTATTACAAACAAAAAGTATCAAAATAAAATTGTATAAAATTTTCTTGAAACACAAACATATGAAAAAGAATAGCAAAAATTGAGATAATAACAATAATCGAACATTAACATCAAGGATCTTCATCTAAGCCATACAAATAATTTTCGAAATCAAAAATCTCATGCAGGCTGTCGTTTGACCTAGCACTAGTTGGATCATTTTCGGCAGAAGCAGTAGCAGTTGGTCTTACACCAACAACATTGGAATTATTCATTGGAACACTCACGTCAACAGCATTAGAACTGCTCTGATCTATTGGAACATTCACATACCCTGGCAAATTTGTCATATTGCCATATGTATAACTGACATTGTCATCGGTATTACGTTCATTTGAGTATTCATACCACCAGTATACAACGGCAAGCAATATGCCAAATTGCTACCCGCCCCGAAAGGTTGCGGTGCAATATACGATTGAACAGTAGTGGTCGGATAATATGGTATATTTTGATTCATCACCACAGCTGTTGTGATGGGAATGTACGCTTGATTTGTCACATTACCACCATAATTCATTCGAACTGACAATCCACTTGAAACCGAAGAAGAAAATGCATCAACAGTAGAAATTGTCGAAACATTTGCAACAGATGTAGTATAATCCAAAGGCAAAGAAACTGCCGAAGTACAAACAGCAGTAGAAATTGCCGGCACTGTTTCTGTATTAATGCCTTGTTTCAACTGCATAAAAACGTCACTGTTTGAGGTCTGAACTTGTTGACTAAACGTTTGTGTGAACGCACTACATTGTTCGAACTGCTCTTTATTATGAACATTACTACCTGCACTCAAAGCGCAAAGTGCGCTAACCGCTTCACGCTCAGATTTTGCTGTTTCGCCTTCTTTACTTTTTCCACACTTTATAGTTTCTTTCTCTTTTGTTACAATTTTTTCAATTTCGTTTCCTTCAGATTGATCGTTTGAACGTTTTTTACTTAGATCAAGGGGTTTTTCCTCGTCACTTGATACTGCGGCATAACGTTTTCTATTTGATAAAGTATTAACTGCTTTCTCACATTCAACTTGATTAGGTACTCCAACAGAATAATCGGGAAGTGGTAATCGCTTTCGTTCAGTTGATGGTCCAGCTTGTTCAATATCATTTCTCATCAAATGTTTTCTTCCATTTTCACTGACTGCAACTGGAATATTAATATTATTTATTTATTATATTATTAAAATGGGAAAACGTATGACAAAAACACAACCCCTGCACCACACTAACAAAACAAAGTAAAACACGAATTTGCGATGAGCGCATTCAGTGAAGTTCATTTCAATTCTTTACGTCGTTAGACGCACTCATGAACGCGACAAATTGAACGCATCAACAATGTTCCGTAATGAAAGAAACATTTTTTATTTATAAAAATAATGTTTATCGCGTGCTACGCTCTCACAAAAATCAATTTTGCACATTCGTGACATTTTTATTTTTTTTGTCTACTTTATTAACAAATATAAAAAAGATTCAATAATACATTGAACGATCTGTGTCACAACTTTTGACACTTGTCTCGTAGCGCTAGAAGTGAGCTGTCAGACGCTTAGATGCAGGACCTTCGGACAAAAATGGGAAAACGTAAGACAGAAATAAGGGAAATGGTACAACAGAAAATAGGAATAAGTATAACAACGTTAAAAAATGTATTTCTAACAAAAAAAAAAGATCTGATTGACATAAAAGACAAATTAAAATGTTCGAAACTCCTAGAAATGAGAAATTCTTTGTGAACGTTACTCTCTTTTGCAATGTTGAAGTGAAAAAGTACATATTTATATACAATGCTTGTAGTACACTTGCTAGCACCAGTTGGTGTCTCGGTGCCATTAATGTACATAATAAATGGGAACTGTGAAAAGTTACTGTAACGTCGCGAAACATAGGTTCTGACATAGTCTGATCTCGTTGATCCTGACCCCCCCTGGCAAAATTTGACCCCCAACGATTTTTTGGACCCGTTGCCATTTTCGGACCTTTTTTTTTTAGTCCTCACTTTTTTCTGGATACCGGTTTTACACTAGATAGAATCGATTTTCGAAAGTGAGGAACTTTTTTTTTTTTTTTTGCTCTTCAAATTTGAAATTGGGGGTCGGGGGCGGGGAGGTCAGCAATTTTTTTCGGGAAGAAATTTACACTAGATAGAATTGATTTTTTTGACCCCTCCTTGAATTTTTGGCTTGACCCCCCCTGAATTTGTTGGTGTCAGAATGTATGTCGCGAAATACGTCGAACATTGGCAAGTAGAATTGTGATAGTCATCTTACTGTGTGCGAATTCATTCATTAGATTGTTTATTGGTTTTCGTGTCAAGTATCATATATGAATGAGTGAGATTGAAAACAAGACATATTCTGACAATATATCGTTATGATACAAAAACGAATGATTTTTTAAAAGTGTAACATTGGCAGAGAATTTTTCGAAGTGAAACACCGCGTGTTACATTTCAATAAAATTTGTTTTCCATGATTCACTTTGAAAAACGTTTGCGCTGGTGTTTCGTTTGTAAATACTTGTTGGATGATGTTTTGGTTCTAGGAATGCATGATAGTGGAACGTAAAGATGTCAAACGGACGAACTGTCCGTCTTTTTAGCCCATCCGTCCGTCCATCCAGGGCTCTTGAAATTTTTTTTGTCCGTCCGTCCGTCCGTTCAGAGCCGCTAAAAATTTTCTTGTCC